GTGTGTGTGTGTGTGTGTGTGTGTGTGTGTGTGTGTGTGTGTGTGTGTGTGTATACATACAGCGTTTGCATTTATTAAAAATTCTATATAAACGCGTGATAACAAATCAAGCGAGATCCACTCAAATTTTCCTCTTTAAAACATCAGTAATTTATGCATTTAGTATTGTTTATCAGTTCTTTTGAAAAAAACTAAACAAAAATATTGGATTGTTTAATATTAAAAAAATAAGAATCTAGGCTAATATAACTTGTGACATACGTAGATGTTTGTGATGATATATTTACATTAATAACATTGTAAATATTTGGATAATTTAACAGAATAGGGTAACGTCAGAATTTAACACAAAGTCCCCAAAAAATTAATATACACTCAATTGTTTTTATCTTTCCTATTTACTATTTAACGAAAACGAATTTTATTACTTCAAACTAATCAAATTTTTTATAGTACTTATATATAGTTTTTCCTTTTAATGATTATCTTGTTCATAATGGTTATCCCGGTTCTGCGAGAATACTTTTGTTAGAGAAGTATATATATTTGTATATAGAGGTAGAAGAAATTATATTGCATAGTTTAAAATGATATGATTTTACACCTTGTAGAAAGTCTTACGCTCAAAATGTGATGAAAACTGACGAGTCGCCACTTACTGATTTCATTTTCAGATAACTCGAAAGCTCTTTAGATTTTTGAAAGGAAAAATAATTGTTTTCTCAGTATACGGATCAAAAGACAAGAATCGAAATATAAATGTATAACCCAAATCTAGCCAAAACGATCTCAAACGATTTTTCATTGTTTTGCCAATGTTATGTTTCTTACATTTGGCAAGACCTAATAAGAAAAAATGCAAAATTGCGTACATGTATGACGAAGAAGCAGAAAAAGCAAAAAATGCAGTAAAAGAACACGATGTTTTGCACTGCCAGATATAATAAAAAAGAAAAGACAACCTGCGTTAATTATGTAAATCGATCGATCATTGAAAGCACCGCTGGTGTTCATTATAATTCATATTGTGGTTCTACAAGGTAAAAATGAGAATAGTTAAAAGAGAAAATTGCGGATGCAAACTTTTTTCGAAGCACAAGAAAAAATAAGAGACGCAAATAAAAAATATCCGAGCGTTGAATAGTACTTTGTCTTTTTGGATACTTTCACGTACAAATGACGATTTATAGTTCAAGAATAGAACATTAAAGAGATAGATATTGTACGAAAATAATAATTTCACGGATATTCCTACTCTCTTGTTTTTTTGTCTTGTAATTTTTCTAATAAAAATTTAGCTTCTTTTAATTAAATGAAAACGGCTTAAAAAATTAATAAGTATTCTTTAAAAAGACCTTGTAGCCAGAAGTCTACCGGTGATAATGGTAAAATTAGCTTCTTTTGTTCTCGAATGTTCTAAAAAAGATTCCAGCAGATCTTTCTTTATATACGTGTAGTTCTTCATAATTAGATTTACCGAACTTTAACAATATGTCTACATACATCTGTTACCTGGACATTAAGTAACTAAAATTTCTTTAAATAGAAACAAAAACTTACTCTCATCAAAAGTGTTATAGTGTTAAGTGTCTGTTATAAAAGTTGCCAGATCATAAAACTGGATTATGTCACGCTCTTAGATCACCAGAGGGAATCGCCCCAGTGAAGGTGTCAAGAAGGCGCCTCCTCCTTCTAGTTAGAAGGAGCAGACGGCGGTCTCGGGAGGGTCTTCTTCATATAAGAAGACCCAGGCGAGCAAAGCCCTGGCTGCTTTTCTGGGCCCCTCTCCTCCAAGTCCGAGCCCTCTTATTGTTAGTAGGTGCTTGGCGAGTGGAGTCCGGGAGTGCCAGGGAGAGAAAGGCCACCCTTTGGGGGTGGTCAATTCCATGGGGATAGAGTCCACCTTCGGGTGTTTGACCCGGAGCCACAGGAGAGTTCTCTTCATTGCACGTGGCTCAAAGATAGTGGAAAGGGGTTACGGCCCTCCTTACCATCACAGAGGAGATGCTCCTCTTTTAGGGCAGAGGACAAAAGTCCAAAGCCTACCAGGGTGGTCCCGGCAGGGTCCTGCGCTGGGGTTCCGGGGCTCCCCTAAATGGGCAGCAGAAGGCCGTCGCAGGGGTTTTAGTGGGTATACTCTCCCTGAGGGGAGGGGGAGTCCCACACTACTCTGCTTTCTTCGGGAAGCAGGGTGTGCGTAAGTGCATTTCCCCTGCGTAATAAAAAAAAAAAAAAAAAAAAAAAATCGCTCTTAGATGCTTTCTTTGTCCCGAGTAAGATAATATAAAATAGCTTGTGTTAAGAGAAAGAAAACAATTTTTTCTCTCAATGTTAGTAAATCTTTGGAAGAAATTTTAATGCTCTTCAGGTACTAATAATGTTACCGTTAAAACACAAAGTTAGAACCAAATAGTGCTTGTTAAACAAAGTGAGTTCTATAGCAAAATTTTGTTAATTACTGTGCTTTGACAGTAGCATGTACAACTTGATTATTGTGTCAATATTCAAAATGGGAGATACTAGTTTACAAATTATATATAAAATATGAATATATAAATATATAAACAAAAATATATATAATTAACAAATTGTATAATAAAGTAAATAGTTTAACTTAACGGCTCGATGAAATCAAATTGAAAACAAAAATCACAACAGTCTTAGGTGTGTACCTGATTGTTTATACTTTTGCATATTCAATATCTTTTTGCTCAACGGATGTATTCCAGTTCTTTTGATGTTTATTTTAATTTATTTGTATTGTATCACTCATTACTTTGTTTTTACAGTATGCTGAAGATGATTAATAAATCCGATCAAAACGTCCCATTTTAAACTGCGTTCTGTTATTTATCTACGTTCACCTTGGACTGTTGTGGCTCTCTGATTTTCGTTTTCAATTTGTATAATTAAGCTTTTTTTTTAAAAAAAAAAGAAGAAAAGAAAAAAAAAACAAAAAACAGACTAAAATATATAAAGTATCTTTTATATATCCTGGTGAAGGTTAAAATAAAACTTCTGATGCATTAGTTGAACATGATCGATTATTATTCGTCGTCGAAACATTGCACATGTGTGTGTACTTCGCAATTTACAATACAATACCTATAATACAAAATACTAATAGTAATTGTTTTGATAATGATATTATAATGATATTTAACTGAAATGTTGAGGATAAAGACTGATGAGGAGAAAAGGAGAGATGGAAGATAAGTAAATATGAGCAAGATTAAAATATAAGAGTGCTAAGAGATAATAAAAAATGATTTCAAACTTTCAGTCGGTCACAGTGCAATCACCGAGTCAGTTCTCGATGACCATACTTTTGCACTCGCTATTCTCTTATCGGAACGTGATATACAGTGTTTAGAGAAATACACGCGAATAAATTCTTTTCTGGTATACCCTGTATACTACATTTTATCCACTCTACGAGACGCGGATTAATCGTTAACGCGGATTATTTTCCGGAATGTAAAGAAGAAATCAGATGATTCTCAAAAAGAAATAACTAATTTTATAAAACTGTTTAAAATTGCAAAATTTTACATCGCGATATATTTCAATCTTAGTGCGTTAAAGATACTTAATTACAAAACACGTGCGCACTGACATTTCAGCGCGATGAATCGACGGCGTACTTCTTTTTGTTGTCGAAATTTTTGCGACCGATTAACCCTTGAATAGAGAACAGCTTGTGTGTATGCGTGTGTGTATGTATATATACATATACGTATAAATATTTTACTAGTAGATTTTAACAAGAAAGATAGAACCGCACGCAATGGCGATCGGATTTCTCGTCAAAATAATCGGAGAATTTTTTTTGGAAGGATTTCGCTCGTAAACAATACTGAAATCGCTGGTTCACCGATTAATCGTGCGGAGTATCGCGGAAGAGAAACGAGAGTTCGAAGAGAGAAACGGACGGGGAGATGCAGGGAACAACTAGATTACAAAGTATGTTCTCTTATGTGATGCACGCAACGTTAACTCTCTTTTTTTTATATATAAGACTACTATATTACTTTTGGCAGGAATGTTATATAATTTATATAACATATATTTATATATATATATATATATATATATATATATATATGTATATATGTATTTATTTATAATATCTTAACCGCGAACTGCGTGTCCGATGCACGTGGTTTCGCGACGGACACGTCACGGCAAAGAAAAATAGAGCCTCGCCTTTCAACCGATTTCTTTCTGTTTGCTATATTGTCCGAGCGGTGCATGTGGCATTGCTTTTTTATCTGTGAGACAGTTCACACACTCAGAACTATAAGTAGTCTTGAATGAATATATTTATTACTTTTTTAATTTTGTATGTATTACTGGAAATATAGAATGTGTGTGTATGAAATCTTTTGTATTATATAAATAATCTTGAAATCAGTTTTTAAAAACACACAATCATAATTGGAACATTGTTTGTATGTAAAGATAAGTTTTAAAAACAAGCACAAAAACTAAAATGCATAGACAATTTCAATTTCTTAACTTATTTTGTAGATTTCTTAATCTACTGGCTTTTCTAAAATTGTTTTTATTCTCAATATATAATTTTCATATAAAATATTACACTCAAGACAATACTGCAAACTGTACTGTAAATATTTTACAGAATTATATCTGTGTCATTTTTACTATGTATTTCTAGGTAGTAAAAATGAAAACGATAAAAACAATATTGAAGAAAAAAACTCAATATCATAGTTAACTTAAAATATTTTATACTTGAAAAAAGTACGCAACCACCTACGCGCGCTCGTTCATATGCTATACGAAATGCAATTCTTTCTTCAAAGTCGCTAAGTCGTGCGGAGACTTCGATTAAGAAATTTTTTGATCGCTTATGTAAATCTACTACAATGAATGTGGAACATAATAATGAAGATCGCTCGTAATTATAGAAATACTTGCGAAGATATACTTACGTAACGTGGTTTGTATTCGTTTTTATTCAATATATAATTATATATACATGTAGCATTTTTCGAGAGCCACGTGATTCTTCGTTGCATCTAGACGCGCGTGAGTTGCACGGAGATATTATGATTCGAATAACACGCGTATGTACATCGAAACGGTTGATTGACTTGCAGGAAAAAACACTGAGTCTTGAGTTTACGTGAGAGAGTTTGAGAATGTGAGTCGATCGTTGCTAGAAGAAAATCGTATTCTACGTTTTCGTAGTATCTGATTTCTTGTCTGCGATTTCTGCAATTCTTGATTAAAAATACGCAAAATATGAGGAGTCTACATCGTTTTCCGGCTCAAGGAAGTTTGTTTTTATATAATGGATGAAAAAAAATGCAAGTTTTACTTCACACAGACTGCAACAGTGATGGTGCGTTATTATAAAGATAATGTAACATAAGGTTTTATAAATACGCGACTGCGATTTATCGAATAACACGGAAAGTAGTCTTGTAGCCGACTACAATTATATAACAAGTTTAATATATAATATTACTATAATAAAATAAAATAATAATTTTAATATATTTAATGTTAATATATTTGCAATTATCAACTAAAAAGAACCTCTCTCTCTCTCTCTCTCTCTCTCTCTAATGATTTCGAATGGAGCTTTTGCGATTAGGCGTTTGAGCAGTGTCTAGAGAGAAAATGCTACACAGTTAAACTTAGAAAAAACAGGACGTGCTCGAGTAACAACTGATCATCCGTTGCGTGATTTCTTCGCACGATCATCATCATCTTCATCGAAAATCATTGGTCATTGATAGCTTTCAGCTATCAAGGAAAGTGAGAGTGAGCAAATTTGTCGAAATGTACTATCTCTACTTGAAATTGATTGATTTTAAGAAGCGATTCCTCGGTGCTTACTTATGTGTTTTAAGAGACAGAAAGTGTCGTATCGTGTAAAAGTATTAAAACACACCACACAGAGTTGATAGAAACATGAAAAACCGATATGCATTGCATAGAGTCACACGATTTGTACATGTAATTATTTCTTTCCTTTTTTTAGTCATTTTTCTTCATCCATACGTTTATTATCCGTTCAGTACGTTTTCTTCTTAGGTCGCTCCCTCTCTCTTTCTCTCTTATTCTCTCTCTCTTTTTAAGGTGCAACGAATCAGTGTTCAACTTGGTCAGTCGTTCATCCGTGAACAGAATGATACACAATGTGATGGTAATGACGGACAAATGCAATTGATTTTGCATTTATGTGCGACAAATCAACCTTCTTACGATGCAATCAGACATACGCTCAACACTCATAAAACTTACTTAGAAAAACGCGCTTTCGAATATCTCGTCAGTTACTTCCTACGATTTACTAGATGCTCGATTAGATTAGAATATAGATTTACCCTTGGGAAAGTCATTTAAGCTATTGCGCTCTTACATACGATAGATCGTCGATCTTTGAAGGTCGAGAATTTAATAATACGCTTGTCACGCAGCGATCACTACCGAGAAGGCAGAAAGACTCTAAATATATTGACTCTTGAAATCGCGAACTACCATTACAAATTCCTCTTGTGTTTTTTCTCTGAGAAAGTAATACGCGAGTGAATCATGATCATATTGCGATCGAATACTATCTTTTTCTTTACGGTAATCGTCCACCTGATGCTTTCACCTGATTTCCGGCGACCTTAGGAATTGCACCGATTATCTTGACGCGATTCTGCGAAGTAGTTGTTTGTTGTTGTTGTTGTGGTTGCTGCTGCTGCTGTTTATTATCGCAGAATTGCGGCGGCGGCGCAAATACTACTTCTTGATCGTGGCCGCCTGCGGACGGACCGGCATTGAATTCCGGTGGTGGTGGCACGAACAAATCATTGTTTTGTTCTTCGGCATCAGCTTCAATCGGTGGTGGTAACTGCGCCAAGCTGACCGCATGCCTGGTCAGCAATCCACTGCCGCCGTAGCCTGGTCGTTTGATTTGAGTGCTTTCTTTCTCAACTAAACTAACACCGGTCATCAGAGTCGTACCACCACTTGGAATAGAGTTTTGACTGTTTTCCTGATTGGCTAGGTTTCGCATAGCGGTGTCGTCGAAACCCATAGGTGGGCCCACCGGCACATCTTGATCTGAACTGACGCCGCTCGAGCTGTTGTCACCATCCTCAGCGAGCGACTGTTGAGTCTGCAACAACCCGAAATCGTTCGGATGGCTCTTGGAAGACTTGAGCTGCGTACGCACTTTCTGAATTTCTTCAACGCTAAACGAATGCGGCAACGAGCCGCTGCCTGATGAACTCGAGCCAGACGTGTTGGAGTTGCCCGAGGTTTCTTTGGTCGCTTCTATTTTTTCTCGCGCTGCTGCTTTTTCAAGTTCCTTTGCTATTTCCGATTCGCCATCCTCATCCGTTTCGTCCTCACCTTCGTCGTTCTCCGACTCTGACAGACTGTAATCCGGCTCAGGGATAGGTGGCGCCGCAGAAGGTGGTGCGGATGTTCCGTTCGTACCGGATGTGTTCGACGAAAGATTCGTGACAGACGAGCTGGTGCTCACAACGGTTTTCTTCTTCCGTTCGCGAATACCAGCCGTACTGTGACTTCTGTTGGTTTTCAGCGGTTGTGCATATTGATTGTTGGCTGAATTGTTGCCGTTCCCATTGCTGTTGATGCTGCCGACGTTGGTGTTAAGTGTCTGCTGGCTGCCATTCAAACTCGTTGGCTTGAACGTTGTGCTGCTCGGCGTGTTGCGCAAGCTGTGTGACTTCCTAAGATGCGGGCGATTGGTGTGAGCTGGCAAACTACGCGAACGATAGCCGACGGTCTTCATGTCTTCCGGCGAGGCGTACAGCTTCGCACTGTTCGACGGCCGGAAGCTCGACATCACTCCGTAGCCACCATCGACTGTGGCTGCTGCGAGTTCTGTGCGTATTAAAACAATATATAGTAATAAAATTGATTTATCAAAACAAAAAACGGTACTTACATAATCTCAATTATCATATAAGAAAGAAATATTATAAGCAACGTTGTTGGAAAATGAACGATGATTACCTTTGACCTGCTGGATGTGTGCCATATTATCGTAGACTGAAGCAGGCGTAACAACATCCGGCATATTGGGACCAACATTCACTTTAACAACTTGTCCGACCGGAGGAGGTGGTGGTGGATGGTTCGGTGGTGGAAGTCCATTTCTGCCGTTTATGGCGTTTACATCCTCTTGACTTCGATGGCACTTGGGTGCGAGTATCGATGACGATTGTACCTGCACGTTGAGATCGGGCGTGCTATGAAAGTCCCTGTGGAGATCGGAACCACCGCCCAAGCCACCGAAAAAGCGTACTCTCGAGTGCGACTGTAAACGTAAGAACAAGAAATTTGTAAAGATTGCGACGCACAAATGGCAGTGCTAACTTTGAAAAATTTGGAGCGTGAAAAAGATGGAATTGCGATTAATAAATGAATCTGTGAAGGAAGATGGTAGATCAACAAAAGGCACAAGGACTGTGGACCCAAGGACGAAGCGTACCCCTGCCAAGCGTGAAGTCCGAACTACCGTGGCTAACGCTAGCCCGCTACCATATTGCTGCTTCAACAAATAGTTATCTAAGTGTTAATGCTGTCGAATGCTGCGAAAAATGATACGTAATTACGTATCGCGTGTTAGCCTTCCATGCTTATAGAATCAACTTCAAAGAGCGATATTAGAAACTGAAGGATTGCAAGATAATCGGGTTAGATGCAAATGCTGGTTAATCATACTTGAGGCGTGAACACGAAGCTGTAGGTGGCATCTAACGACCCTCATGGGACGTCAGATTTTGTTTCATTTAGCAAATGACTTAGTCACCTGAAATCATGCAAGCCACGGACGAGCTAGAAACAAAGTATTTTCGATCAGTAATATAAGTAGTCCTCATCGTCTCGTCCGCACCAGGACCGTCCCTTGCTGTGCGCTCGCACCGGCTTGCGCGCAAACTATAACACACATGCAAAAAAAAAAAAAACGAGCACCATTACCATTTCCCAGAGATGGGAAGATTCACCGAACGCTGGGCGACGCTTTTGAGTAACACTGCTAGGCTTTTCTTAACGGGATATCCTTAACCGGGTATTGAGTAATCAACAAATTACTAATTGATGGATAAAAACGAGCAGAAAAAGATATTATAAAACGTCTATATTAAAAATTAAGGGATGTTGAAAATTCTAAAAGGACATTAGAGAGAAAATTCTATTCGAACTACTACTGGTTCAGATGAATAAAAACTTGTTATAGTCCATTTTCTAGGGCAGCTTTCGTCAAGGAGCTCATTGTCAACTATATATAGGGAGAATGTTAAAGAGAAACGTGAACGACTGCGCGAGCTCGTAACTTGAGAGTGTGACGAGAGTCCTTACTTTGCCCTTGCGTTTCATCTCCGCTACGCTCGCGTACACCCTGCCGGTCTTGGCGGGCGACGACGGATGCGACTTGGTGGATTGACCGGTAGTCTGAAAGTGAGACGAGCTCATCATGGACGAGCTGTACTGACCGCCGGCGCTACCCTGTTGCCGCTGAAATAGTTCCTGGAAGAGAAATTAAAGGACGCAGCTGAAGCCTCGGTCTCGTCTCGTGCACACAATGCCATTCAATTCGGGGACAACGAGCGCACGAATTCAGTAATCGAGCAAGAGACAGAAAAAAATTGGGAGCGAGAGAGATAGAGCACGTTTGGCGTGCGTGCCGCAAACAGATGGGAGATAGTTACTTCGAGTTCCGCGGCGGTAATTCTGCTGGAAGTTGGCCGCGATCGGATACTGGCTGTTCTGGGTTGCACCGGAGTGTTCTGACCGGTATTTGATCCAGTCGACGATTGCTGCGGCATATGAATCGACTCCGCGCTGCTCGACTTTGCGCCGGTTGATGTGATGTCATCACGCTCATCCCTTTCGCCGCCTCCCTCTGTGAAAAAAACACGACGGAAAAAATGTAGCACGACGATGTTTCGTTAGTGTCGTCAATACTTTGCAAACTCTCACTTAATATTAAGCAAATTTTAATCAATTACCTAATCCTGCGACCATCGATCGCGCTCTCGCCCGACCCACGCTTAGCGTGGTTTTCGGGTCTCTTCGCGGTGGTATGGGCGCCGGAGACCTGCCAAGCGTACCACCGATCACTACATTGTTGTTACCCTTGCGTGGCAAAGTTGCGTACTGTCTCTGGATAGGTTGACTAGTTGGTAGCGCGGCCGCAGACTGGGAATTCGGAAGACTAATCACCGGTGAAACTACGGTCATTCGTACCAGCTCTCCCGATTTCCTGATCAGATCAACTACGTGTTCGTGAGACGCCGTTGTTACATCTTCGCCGTTGATCTGAAATATATTTGTGTGAAAAAAAAAAAAAAAAAAAAAAAAAAAAAAAAAAAAAAAATGAAATTATGCAATTTATTCTAAAAAGATTAAAAAACTAAGTTGAGATTTATGTTTACAAACTCACTTGAATGAGAAAATCTCCTTTTCGGAGACCTGCAAGATCGGCCACTCCTCCTTGGTCGACATCATCCAGATATTGTAACGCCGGATACCTGGCAGATGGGGTTAATTCCATGAGAGGCGAAGTAGCTTTGGCGCCACGTAATACAAAACCAAAACCTTTTCTTGAACGATGAAGAACAACAGTACGTGGCTCCGACGTAACTCTATGTTTCAACATCATTAAGCATTATTCAAAAACAAATTTTTCAATTTTTGTTACATATCAGCTTGAAAAATGTAAGTGAACGCTTACGGCTTCTTTAATCTGGGTGCCGTAGCAAAATATTTATGCTGCGACTCCCTGCGGCCCAGAACTCGGTTCCGGCCGTCTCGCGTGGGTTGCGGACCTAGAGGTATATTTGTGTGACGCAATCTGACTTCCTGAACGCAATGCGCGGGGAATAAGCCGGTACCCTGTCCGCGTAAAACACCTTCTAGAAGACCGCAGTCGGTAGCACCGGTGACTGTTAAAAATAAAGAAACAAAAACACGCTTGCTATCAGAATAATATTTCTGGATGTTACCTATAAAACACAGAAAATCCAGAAAAAGACATGGTAAGACGATTCGTCTCGAATTTGTTCATTAAAACAGTTAATTGTGAGAAATGAAAAATGTTATGAAGTAAACGCTGTTACGTCGCTGTAAAAGTAAAGCCAACAAAACTAGAAAGAACAAGAAAAAGAAAGAAAAAAGTGCGTTCGATTGCCGAGTTCGAGAGAAGTACCTTCAAGGATGTCTCCTTGATTGATAGTCAGATGGCCAGTGATCCCGCTGTTGTAGCTCTCCACGCAAACCACCGTCGTGCCGGGAATAGATAATGAATTGGTCGTATCGGATTGCGAGGTACCCACCCCGGAACTATCGCTGATCACGTCAGATGCTGTGTCACCGAGGCTTTTGTCTAGAAATTAACAAACGACCGGATATATTCAGCGTGATGCCTGATGTGTTCGCCCAGCATTGCTTTAAGCGAACTTACATAGGCCATGCAAAATAAATGACGAACCTTTACGGGAAACAGAAATAAAAAAAGAGAGAAAAAAAGAAAGGAAGAAAAAGAGAGAGAGAGAGAGAGAGAGAGAGGGAGAGAAAGAAAGAAAGAAAAAGAAAGAGAAAGAGAGAGAGGAAGAGGGAGAGAAAAAAAGAAAACGGTTAACTGTTAACGCTAAATCAAATCTTGAGCGCACTTGGTCGTAAAAAGTCAACTCGGCTCACTTAAATTGATGCTCTACAACGGCAACAAGAGCTCTAATCGCCAGCCACGTCGTATTAATCGCATCCTAAAAAAGGCGGTCTTTCTATAAAAATAAGCGCAACGTATATATTTCTTCTTGAATGAAACCTTGCTCAACTCGTGAGAAGGAGTCACTAATCTCAGGATCTCTAATTCCGGATCCTCGGAAACACCAAAAACGAAAGCATGCACGAATCAAAAAACCATCCGTCCGATTGATTCTCTCATAAACGCGTCGCTTCAACCATCTTAGCGCGCCACCGATTTTTGGTGGTGATGGTATGTAACATGATGCTGGTGTATGTCAATCGCCGTTGTGTGTACACACACACACACGCGCGCGAATATACTTGACAAAGAATCTCCTTGCATCTTTGACAGTTGACTTCTTTTTCGGTTTCACAATATCTACATTAACAATTGTTGCCGCAGTTTATGGATCATCGAGGAGCAGTTTCGCCGCTTCTAATCCTCTCACCATCGAAGAATGCGCTAAAGTTGAAGGAGAATACAAAATAAAAAAATAATGTACCTGTGACGATGCTGGCCGAATCCTCGCCGGACGGCTGATTGCTGCCTTCAGACAAGCTCGAGCTGGCCGAGCTGAAAGGCGCTAAACTCCTGCTGCTCGGTGACGGCGACGGCGGCATCTCCATCTGCGTTCTGTGCATATCGAGACGGTGTTGCAGTTCGAGTCGGTGCTCTTGTAGCCTTGTGAGGCCCTCCATTCGTAAGTTTGTATAATTCTCTGCGACGCTCGGCAATCTTGAAATGGTGTGTACAACTCTTAGAGCACGGCGACGATCAGTTCGTGCTTCGCGCCGACCAAGACAAGATTACATGAAATCTATTTATATATATAATGAACTCTAATCACACACGTTCGTCGACTCGGTCGGGACGAAGCATCGGTGATACCGCAGAGGTGTACCGAACGAACGTCGCTCGCAGTGACGACGAAACGTGAAGTAAGAACAAACTTTGTCGATGAGAGTTTTCCGGAAGAGAAGAAGAGTCTCTTTCTTCCTCCGTTTTATTTCGCGATCGCGCGCGACAAATCGACTCTCGCGATTTCGTCTATGCTTACCTCACATTTGGATCTCTCATGGGATTCGGACTCTGGTACTCCGACGTCAGTCGGTGGGCATTCTGTTCGGACGGTATTCTCGGTAAGTCGTTTCGGTTCGACTCTACGGACGGTATTCTGCCAATGCTTCTATGGTGAACCGATTCGGTCGTCGACTGACCGATCATCGTGACACTGTTACCACCAGCAGTGGAGGGATACTGTTCCGTGGACGGCACTCTGCTCAGGCTCGCCGCGTTAGTCGGATATTGTTCCGTGGACGGTACTCTGGTCAGCGTGCTTGCGATAGGATACTGCTCGGAGGACGGTACTCTGGTCAGGCTGGCAGTGTCATATCGCTCACCGGACGAGGCGCGGCTGAGCACTGCGCTCGTTGGCGCGTATTTCTCCTCGGATGCGACTCGCACGAACGTGCCGGACGACGGAGGTGGTGGATACAAAGGTGATTGCTCCATGGACGGTACTCGGTTCAGATTCACAGCCGCCGTGGTGGTGGCGTACTGCTCAGCGGACGGTACTCGTGTAATATTCGTGTACTGCTCCACCGAGACAGTTCTGGTGAGAGTACCGACGACGACGCCACCACCACTACCGGCGCTAGACGCTGTCGCGTGTTGTTCGGTAGACGGTATCCTGGTGAGGGTGCCCAAATTATTTGCCGAACAGCTTGTCGTCATCATCAAAGAGGTGCCACTGAAGGCCACCGAGCGCCGCTTTGGGTTGTAACGTGGCGGCCCTTTAAACGGTACTGGAAAATCGCAAGGGTTGCAAGGGTAAGTAAAGAAAGGATTACTTAGCCTTACAAATAGACGCGCGCGTGCTTTAATGCCCTTGTAGTAGTAGTCGTTGTTATTGTCTCTTCAGATGCGAAACGTGAAACTGTGTCAAACAGAAATTCGTCAATATATTAGATTTGAACATCGTAACTGTGGAAAGAACGCCAAGTAATATTGGCACTGAACCCTAAACAGTTTCGCTTATTATACACAGTTTCATAATGTTCAATATGAATAAATTTTATATTATATTCTTTTTTTTTGTTTATCAACTTTTGTATATTCCCTTTCTAAACTTCCTTCAAACCGAAGTAATGTTTAACATGATTCCAAAAATAATTCAATAAATTATATCTTCAAAGCTATAATTGATATTGAATGTTCGTACTGTCTAGGGTTAAAGAGATGATTACACACATGTGTAGCAAGAGTACGACGAAATTAACATTTCGTAAGCTTCGGAACAAATCACTTAATGAGGACCGAGCGTTAAATATCACCCCAACGTTTGTACGCGTTATTAACCACGTTCTATCGATGACATTCTATCGCGAACGTTAGTCACGTCTTGTTATATCATATGTACATTATGTTTATTAAAGAGAGAGCGAGGTGAGGCCACGGGTTCAGGCCGAGAAGCTCTGTTCCCACCGCAATCGATCTTCCGATATTACAAAAGATCGCGCGTCGTGCTAGAACTGTTTTTTTTTTTTTTTTTTTTTTGCAAAGCAAATTTATACAAGCAGTCGCCGTCGCACGCAAGCTCGCAAACACGCGCGCACGCATGATGTTACTTCACGATGACGACGATGGTTATTGGCTCTTCCCGGGCGTAACCCCGGACAACTAGACATTGCTTTCGTCGATTTAGTGTCATCTTCTATAGAATGTCTCAGAACTAACAACAAGCGGACGAATATCGTATAACACGTTATTAAATTTCGTTAGTCTCTAAAAATTGTTACCTAATAGAAGCATTAACACTTTTCTGATCATATGTCATTGGAAAAGAAAAACGACTTTTTTGCGTTAAATACAATACTTTTAACTTTGTGTCAATTCCGAAACATTCTGCAGAGAAAACAGAAAAGCGGTAAGAAGCACACGCACAAGGATCAACAACTCCATCCCCGTTCTGTTGTATCCGGTTTGTGTGATACAATGTGCTCGAAATTGTAAGTCTCGCCGGAATACGTCATGTGCACAAACGATCGACGTCGCCGTCGCTAGATCGTCGGAATGTCTTTTTTTTTTTTTTTTTTTTTTTTTTCAGTTTCTACGCTCTGCAGACTCCGATGACCTGCGAGACCACGTAGATTCACAACGTATCTCGAACTACCAAACATTACTAATCAAGACATTCTTGCAAATTCAATGCTGCCAGGAGCACTATAAATTTTACATGTATTAAAATTTTGAAATGTAATACAAAAAAACTTAATACATAAAAGAAGTCAAGCATTAATTCTTAATAATTGAATAATTTTTGTGTCTTTGCTGATTTATGTACATCATATATAAATATTATATCTATTTGTATATTGAATTAAAAAAAATGGTTCGTCCGAAGAATTTGGTATTTGATGTGTTCTTTTTGTGATGCAATTTTGCAATCCAGCAGCACTGATTTATTTGACAGTGAATCAACGATACGATACCATTAGTTACTGGAAAGCAATCTATCAAGAAGTAGTTACTTCTCTTCGGTATCACAAATGTTAATCGACGTTATACACGACCATCACCACCAAAAATCCCATGACATTGTGAGTTACACGCTTATTCCTCGCACACAGCACAGACACAAGTAAACAAATGATTACACATTTATATACGTACGTCACACTCACAACACACACACGTCAACATGTTACATATAAAATTTCAGAAGAAATCCTCTAAATAGCTAAGAATCGATATTACTATAGCTAAATCTACTTTTACGTTAAAAGCAACGTGCACATGCTCATGCCATATTCGACTGTGATATCATGCCATACAAAAGTCTACGATTCTTCTAGACCGCGATCTCGTTTCTTATCAGATAACATTTGTGAACTTGTTTTATATCACACCGTTATGGTCATATGTGACTTTGTTTCAGTAAACAAATTATAAGATAATTCAACTTTGAATTGGAACAGATGTATCACCGATAAGACGATAAGTAGTCACTATTCGAAGCACTTAACAAGCTATTTCAATTTTTTTTCATTGATCTGATTTCGATTTGTACCTCTTGAAACTTAGATAAACCGTAAATTAAATATATCGAATTCTATATCAAAAAAGTTACGACATCCGTTTTTCGCCGATGATTGATGCCGTCAAGTTCTGACTTATGTAATAAACCGTACACGTCATAAGCAAGGAATCATTAAACAATCGTGTTGATCAGTTATCATAGGTGTGGCAAATTTTACGTGATTAAAAACCTTCAATTCTGTTTGTCTCATTCGTAATTCAGAAAAATCGATTAACACGTCGCGTCGTGTTATCATCGTTTGCGCGAGTAGAGTTAAGGTGCCATTACACACTGCGTGTGGTTCGACGAGCTTCGCGCCGCTCGTACAGGCTCCTCGATTTGTCCTTTATCAAGCTCTGACTGTTCTCACGGTATGTTAATTCGCGAACCTCGCGCCGCGGCGCGCCGCTTTAACTTTTTCGAGCGCTGAACGATACCTGAAGAAATTATACACGCATGAGCTACGAACCTGTCCGAGCCTATGTGAACGGATTTACGAGACAAGTCTCGACGATAGCGCGTTTCTTTTGATTCTTACCACATTTGCCGACATTCGGCGGGAAGAACGCCGAGTCTTGCCGCGCTGGCCCATTCACACGACTCGCAGCGCGGCAAGTCGTGAGCCAGGCTTGCCGAACTACGCGCCGTGTAAAGGCACCTTTACTGAACAACAATGTCAAGAAAGAGAAAGAGAGAAAGAGAAGCAAAAACACACAAGGAAAACGATAAAAAGAAGAAGAAGAAAAGGAAGAAAGTTTGCCGTTTATTCTTGCAACATTTTCTCTCTCTCTCTCTCTCTCTCTCTCTCTCTCTTTCTCTCTCTTTCTCTCTGAGTGAATTTCCTGGTTCTTTAACACCTTCGTACGTTTTCCGTACTCTCCTCTCCTTCTTTTTCTTTAACGCGCGATTTTTGATATTTTATGCGACGTTCATAACTTACCGACTTCCTCTGGCTGATAGTTTTTGATAACTTCGGCAAGTTCCATGTTGCCGGCGATCACGGCGACTTGGTATGGCGTCTGATTTGCGTAGTTAAGTGCGTCTTTCTGCGCGCCTCTGAAAAGTAGCTGACGTATGCACGAAGCGTCTGTGTTGTTCACTGCGCACACGTGCAACGGCGTATTGCCGGACGCATTGCGCGCGTTCATGTCAGCACCATAGAAGAGCAGGTGGTCCAGATGCTGCACCAGATTGTTGCGACATGCCTACGGGCAATATGACTAGAATTAGACATGATATTAGACATATGAGCACGATAAAATTTGATGTAGATTTCCCATCAATTCGCAAACAGCTTGATTTAATATATTTTCTGTAAAAAATTATACAATTAAAATTGCAATAACGTAGATAAAATCTTGCGTCATCATAAAAAAGAACAAATATTTTCGAGACAATTTTATGTGACAATATAAGAATTATATTTAACAAATTATTAAAAACTATCGAAGATATATGTATCATTAATAGAAGAGAGAGAGAGAAAAGAAGATAATACAAAATTTTGATAAAAACATATAAAAAAATTGTTTTTCATTCATATATATATATATATATATATATATATATATATATATATATATATGTGTGTGTGTGTGTTCGCAAAAATTATTTTCTATGTTTCAGTAATTTTATTATTTGTTTTTGTTACCTATATGATATGTAATTATTTGCTACTTGTTATATAATATAAATAATCAATATAAACAGAAACAAGTGAAACCTGATGGACTTCTTGCCAGCCTTGGAGATCTTGTGCTCCTATCGTTGCATGATCGTGAAGCAACGTCTCGCAGAGCATCGGATCGGTCTTATAAATGACACTATAGTAAAGTGGCGTCAAGCCCTTTGTATCTTTGTAATTTGGACTAGCACCCAGTTCTAAGAGGGTTTTTACCGCCTCCAGATTATTGCGTTCAACGGCACGATGCATCGCCGTCAAACCCTCTTTCGTTCGATAGTCTAACAGAGCGCCGCCATTGACCAATGCAATTATGACTTTTGACGGTTTTTTCAAAGTCGTTGCCAAAGTTAACGGTGTCTCTGTGAAACAGAAAATAAAAAATCCAAAAACTCTAGCATATGTTAAAACTAATTAATTTTATTTGTTAAAATATAAAATTAGTAATAAATTTAAAATTGTTAATAAATTTATTCTTTAATGTGTTTTGTGTACACACATACACATAAAACAAACCATATTCCGATATTTGCAAAATAAGATTATTGAATCGCGCACATATGAATTACCTCCTGTTTCCTGACAGTGAAAATTAGGATCCAGTCCTTTGCTACACATCTTCGCAATTTTCTCGACTTGACTGCCCTGCACATAATCGAGTAACCTTCGCAAATTCGTTCTGGTATGCATCGCCTTGAGCTGTTTCTCATCCAAATGTAGCATCTTGTACACTCGTCTCTTGTATTTGAGCTGAAAGTCATTTAAAAAAATATATTTTTATCTTCATTTTCGAAATATACGATCCCATGTATTGTACAAATGTGTAAAAATCTTAGCGATGTGTCACTTTTGATTTCATTGATATAAAAGTGTGAAAGCCTAACAGAAAAAATAAATATGATGAAAATGCTTCCACGGCTTTTTGAGTTGACTTTGTTTCTAAGATAACTCATATAAAGAAAACATTTACATACTAAATTTTAGATTTCTATATGAAGACATGAATAATTGTAAGAGAGTTAGAGCGAAAAAACGATATTTTTACATTTTTACATTTTTATGATTTTCACTTAATAAAAACTCTAATAAATTTTTGAAAAACTTCTGAAAAATCGTTTACATCTAGACAATGAGGATACTTTTTTTAAGGTTTCTCGATGCAAATTTTGATTCTAAAAAAATGAAAATATCTTTTATAAACATTTTTTTACTCTGATTCCATTGATGTGCCACCTTAAAACAATTTAGTTTTCGCGGATTTACAATTAATCAAGCACTCCGAAAAGTTGTAAATCCGACCGTGCGATCTCTACGTGGTATATTTTAGGTAATACTAACGTCAGCAATACTGAAATTTTTAAGTCTCATAACTCAGGAAAGTCTTGACTAAAAAGAGTTTGAAACCAATGTTTCGAAAACGCTTTGACGTCAGCTACAAGAATATGCAATGAGCTCCCATTAAAAAAATTCAAGTCGATCTTGATATGACCTTTATAATGCCACTCAAAGTCAATCGCATATACCCATGTAATGTATTACTTAATCTCCAACAACTTTTGTCTGAAACATTTTTCACAAAATAACCACTTTCCTCGTTTTTAAACAGGTGGTGTTCTGAAACACCCTGTATATATATTTACTTTTTCACATACACAAATATATGTATACATATATATAAATATATATACATATATAAATATATATACATATATATATATATATATATATATATATATATATTATATATATAATTTTTTATATTTAAATCACTCCAAGCTATATAAAATAAAAAAACATATGTGTATTTATTATCTCTTTCTCTGTCTCTCTCTCTGCTTTCACACACCACACACACACACACACAGAGAGAGAGAGAGAGAGAGAGAGACAAAATTTGTAACTTTTTGTGAAAATGGACTGAGACTTTAGCCAGCGGCACACGATGCTTTTTGTTGTGCTGAATTGCATGTGAGCATGGCGATTTGACAATCGGTCTGCCATATTAAATCAGCCATTTTGAATTAAAAATATCTGACTTCAAATTCGTTGTCACCAGTTAGCGAAACCCCCGGGTACAAAATTTTAAATTATCGAATAAACATAAAAATACGTGCATTAAAACATATGAGTTGACGCTTTACTGAATTTCGTTTATTTTGACTTTTCATATCTTTTAAACCAATAATAGGATTAACTTGAAAATTTTTTGTGATTGACGTCTCATCATAAGATATTTGGCACACAATTCAGTTCCAAAATCGCGGGGCTATTTTTGCGGTCGCTTTTTTAAAATTAGGATCTAAATTAGCTTTTAAATAGCACTTAATTTTTATGTAGGTGCATATGTATTGTTTTTATGGTAGGGAAGCTAACTTAAATATGGCTTCAAAGATTTTAGCGATATAATAAACTCTCAGATACTCCACGTATTTGACTTTGTTTCCGCTCTCTATTTGCGATTTCGCACGGATTGAAGCTGGATATGTACTACAAATCTTTTACTCCCTCTTCCTTTTCCCCGTTTAGACATTCCACCATCTACATACAAAAATGACGCGCGATTTAAAAACAGGTATTGTTTCTTTTGACCCTGTAGGTTAAAAGGTAGCCGAGGGTTAAGACTATATAAATTACCTTGCGAAATGTGTAACATCAGAAGACATAATAATCTGCGAGTATGTCTATATTTATGATGAGAAGATACTTGCACATATTAGAAAAATATGTTCTACTTTATATGAAATTTTGCGACATATATATGGACTAAAGATTTTCAAAAGCACGAGACTTCATTGTTTGACATTTTGTTTGACACGTTTGAGATTTTGCTGACAGGTGTTCGTTAAATGCAAGTGTTTCATCGAATAGACCCTCATGTAATTTGTAACTCGTGCGAAGTGAATGCGGCTTAAACACCGACTCAAAGAAGCTGTATGAGTCAGCTATCCCTGGAAGTGAATCTCCTGCGATGAAGCGAGAAACTTCCAGCTGGCACGGTGAAACCGATCGGGACCGGAACCCGACCAAAGATGAAGAAGAAGAAGAAGAAGGAAAAGAAGAGGGAAAGGAGGGAAAGATGGAGGAGGAAGCGAAGACAACGACGACAACAGAAAGAATTCTATGAGAAGCGAGATAGTTGATGGGAACTAATATAATACTGGTTACGCAAGAAAATTGCGGGACAAGATCTAGATCTCGTTAATCCGAGATCGAATTATTTGTTTTTCGCGAAACCCCGTTTCAACAGTCATCGCGGTCCAAACAAGTTATGTACCTACATGCACGTGCGGATTCGTCGCATTGCGATCACTGAAATGATTTATGTAGCGAAGATAGCAAATATCATCGCGATGATTAATTATGTAATATGTACTCTCTTGCTACTTTTTTTTCCTCGTTTCTTAAATTAAGAAAATGAAATCGTTTTGCAGGATTATCTTAATTTTCCCAACATTTTATTCTTATTTTTTAATTAAAATAAAATACAATTATTTAACAAATTAGCTGCTTCTTAAAAAGAAGATTTAAATCTTACATAGCTATTCTTCTGTATAAAAAAATCGCAATTACATTTTATTCTTGACACTTTTAAATTATTCATATATTTTATGTCAACAAGAGAAATTATCTTCTCACTGTTCATAAACGTAAGATGTAACTAGATCGTACAAAACGTAAAGTGAATCTACTTGCGGCCTTAGGATCTATTTAAGGTCCATTTTATACATGACCGTTTTAAGTTTCTGTCATGTACGGACTATCTCTGAGCGTTCCGAGCCATCGAATTTATACTAATTTGGGATAAAATTGATGTGTTCGAGAAAACTGTATGTGAACTTAGATCCAATAATATTCATATCATAATGTCATTTTACGGGAGATTTGACCATAATAACAATGCTAGATGAAAAGAAATTTTTAGAAAAAGAAAAAAATGTACGCGCGAGAAAACAGCTACACTTTTCTGTTATTAAACCGAGAAATCTTTATCGGAAAAGCGACTACAAACAAGTCCAACTGAAAGAAATATATCAGTGTTTTTTTTTTTTGTTTTTTTTTCACGCGGCTATGATAATAAACGTGGAATGAGCACGATCGGTTCTTCAATTGTTCGAACGCAATTACAAACTAAAGGAGATATATGAGAAAAATACCACCATAAAACCTAAGAAAAAATCCTCCTTACCTCCAGGTAGCCAACGGGTCCATTAAAAGGATAATCGCCGAGACGACGCTCCTCGTCCAGAAATTTCCCAGCTTTTCCATTTACCGGTGGACAGAAGAGGCCATAATTGAAGCTCTCCTTCAGTTCCTGTAAAGTGTGAATTTGTATCAACTGGCACAGGTGTGCTACGTGCAAAAAGAACAAAGCGCGACCCGCCACCTCCACTTTTTTCTATTCAATACATGCAAATGTGGTAACACTAACGAAGTACGCTATATCGTTTCGAGATCAAGATTTGAGCACATTAGAATACGCACTTGTTTTGCAAGAAGAAATTTCATCTTCATTCCGACAATCGTCATGCCTGTTTGATAGGAGCTCGATGAAAAAGTATAGTAGTATTTATATGTAGCACACAATATGTATTGTGCATATGGTAAATATTATTGATAGTTTGATATAATTCGCTCTATTAATGTGGAATGACAAATTGAAACAATATTAATTACAAGCTTCGAGTTTATTCACATTTTTTTACGCGAACTTTACATAAAATATTCTAATTTATCTCTCTAATCTTACAACAAATGATTTTCGGCGTTCTAAATCACTTTTTGAAAAACAAAAACAAGGAATAACTATGATTACTTAGGCGCAAAATTTATTATTAATTTTTTCATATTCACTATTTTTTCAATAAGTTTAGACAAATATCTTTGCTTTTCACAGGCAGTATTGTGACATGCATTATCCCAAGAATTTCGATTTCTTACCTTATCTTACGGTGTCACGGACTAATGCAACTAATCTATAGTCTAACATATCAAACGATTTACTTACGGACTAATGTATCTAATGACGATTTATTTACGAATTAATGCATCTTACGTATATTTATCATTGATATTTCTAAAAGCTTTAAAACTGGAGAGACCAGATTTTTTTTATCTTTTGATAAACAACGGTCTGTTCATCACAGTCTGAAATCCACATTCCAAACTTCTTTTCTAGCCGTGTAAAAATCGCCTTTGAGCAGACGATCGAGCGAGTCAGTTACAAGTCAGGCGTTGCGCCAGTCCATCCGAAGCATTATAATACGTTGTGCAGAATAATTAATCTTTTGTTTGCAGACTCCTAGACCCGCTCAAAAATTTCAAACCGTTGTCTTTAGTACTTATATCGTTCATTGCTTGTCTCTCTTACAATTTGAATAAGAAATAACACACATGGCACGTATATTCAAGAATTGCGTATTATTGTATCATTTTGCTATGCAAAAAATCGGTGACGATGCGAAGGTAAATGACAAAACATAAACCGATAATCAAGCTAGAGTACAACAATAGTCAAGTATACAACATGTGCCAAATTGAAGGCTTTGGTACGAAAGAAGCAAAGAAGGGTTTTGTCTCTCGACATGCCGATATAGGCGGAAGTGCGATCGACCATAGAAAAAACATCACGAAATGTGGAAGAAAAGTACAGCTGCTGACAACGAAGGACAAAAATGAAAGAAACATTTAGTGACAGATGTATATGCAAACTTTTTTTTTTTTATGTTACAGAAAGAATGTGAATTTCTTAAAAATACAATATCGCAATATTCTCGACAAAATTATATTGAATAAAACATTTTTTTAAACAGATACATTGAGTGAAATAACAAACGCGACAAAAGGCACATTCTAGAACAGATTATAGACATGTGTTTTGTCGGTTTTAAAGCTTTCGTCTAGCTAGCGCATATTTAATGCGCTTTCTTCAAGGTTTTTTTGTATTTAGGAGTGATATAACGTGCCGTTCCTCATTCGTTAAGCCAGCTCAATGATGCGTCCGTGACACGCTCGCCAATGGTTTCCGTCGTCATGCAGAACTCTCCACGTCGAGGTTACATGTCATCAGAATTAAAGTTTGTTACGCGTATGAATAAAACGATGCAGCAGAAGAGATGAAGAAGACGACTTTGCGTCAGGTCTCAGTAAAATGGTAAGTACTTTTAACGAGCTTTTTCACTAAAAAGTCTTTTGTTATAAACCGAGACAATACATGTATATTTTTTATCTGAGAGCAGTTTTGACGAACATAAATGCAAACAAAATTTATAACAAAGAGTGCAAACATTGTTCATTCAAGGCGGCGCGATCGCGAATCGCTCGCCACCGTTTCTCACTAACATCCTGGACAAAAATGAAACAGTCTTGCCAAACCGGCATTCCTACTCTAATTAGTGTTGCGGTAATTGCTTCATAAAGTCTCAAGAGGCGGCATAATCGCACTATAGCAAAACGTGCTTCTCGAGTTTCTTCGATTACCAAGAGAACGGGCAAGAAGGCAAGGTCGTAGGTACCGCGAGTGGAAAAAGTCAATAATTAACGATTATAAAGTAGAATAGAGTAGAATTGATTACCATTATCATTTTTGTCTCGTTCGAGTACTCTCTTTCGAGGATACTCTCACGAATCATAAAGAATCGATTTCTTCGACAGAAGAGTCAAGTCTCGATCGTTCCAACGAATAAATTTTCTCTCTCGAGCAATTTCTCTTCGCGCGCGCACACACACGTTTCCTTCGAAGGAATCGTTATCAGTTTATCATATATTTTCACGCATATTTTTCATTTCTGTTTAATAAAAGAGTCTCATATCTCTGAGGAAATAACTATTTTATGAACCTCTGTTCTAAGGCAGCTCTATAGTCTACATTCGGCTCCCGTTCAGTCCTTAATACTTCTGCGAAAAAGTCGGCACTCGATTCAGAGTCTGTGCGGGATTTTTTCATTTTTACCTTACCCGTGCCATACCTGATGTTGAGGCATGGATGAGAGGAGAAGGATGTCGCTCTAAACGACGGACTCTTTTGTACGGCCCTGTATGAGAGAATAATGGCCGAACCGTGTCTCAATCGTGCTTTATGGGATGTAATTGCGGTCTGGCGAGGGGGGTCAGCCTTGCTGATGTTTAAACTCTAGCTTAGCCAGTGTCCGCGCTCGCTCGCATATATACGGGGATAGGAACGTTATGGTTTTACAACAACGAAGTACGAAACGAGTTTTCGTCTTTTTCGCGCGCAGTTTCGCTCGCTACCGCTTTCGTTTATTCTTCTGGCGAAGATACTAAGTCGTCGTCGACTTTCTTTTGTATTTAAGAACAAAATGCTGGAAATCGATAAATCTGCAATTTTCTTTTTTTAATTCTAGTAAAGAGAAGACGTATTCTGAATGTAAAGACAATTTTATCTTCAAATTGTTTTATTTCATCTATTATAGGAAAATCATCCGATAATATCCACTAAATTGGACCGATCTATTGGATTTTATCTTACTTTTTTTAGGAAGGTTTGGGACTGTTAATCAGAGGGGAAGGGAAATCTATGTAATGTGTAATCACATATTTAAAAAATTAAAAGTTTGATTTAAAACAATAAATAGATATTATATATTATACACTTAGAGAAAATTGATAAGATTACATAAGATTGCGCATGTAAGATTTTTTTACGTCCAATTTATAGCGGAAATTAAATATAGCACAGAAATGAAAAAAAATAAAAAAATAAAAATAAAATAAAATAAAATCAGATCGTTCGATCGGAAGAACGAGCGGAAAAAACAGCAACAAAGAAAAATTGATTCTTCTGAGAAAATCGAGAAACGCGAGAAAAGATCCTTTAGATATCTTTCTTAATTTTTATAAGCTAAGCTAATAGTAGTTGTTTTTTTATCTCAAATTTCATGACAATATTAGTCACTGTTTTGTCCACATCATTTATGCTTACTTCCTTAATAAATATATCAGTGAAGTCACCTAAAATGACACTTTACAAACAGAGTTAATGTGGTGCGCACATTTTCACTATTCCGAATAAGAATCCTTATATGTGTTGACGAGATGCTTGGTGGATATCGTATTTATTCATTCATCACACTCGATAATTAGCCGTGAGTTATGATAATTTTGAACGTTCCACAAATGACTCTTTAATTTACTTAAAAACAACATCAGTCGCGTATTGATGACGTGAAAAAAAATAAATAAATAAAATTACCAGGCTTGATTAACGTGACATCACATTTTCGTCTCGAGACTGCCGTCATATTCGCCGTCGAATCGAGTTCCGTCAAGTAACTCAATTTTCTAGATCGCAGAATTGAGTCAGCGTCGTTCTACCAGTAATTGGCAATCAATTCCGGAGGCCGACGGACTCCATGTGGCGACGATGACATTTCGATCACTTGCTCTGGCTATAAAACGTATTTTATTAAGCAAATTACACTTTCCACAAGTCGTAACTTTATCGTGTTACGCAACAGCAATACAAATTATCGCGGAATAATTTTTTGAGTAGAGCATGAATAAAATATGTAGATCACCTTTTGCACCGGAATTTTCTTGTCAAATTGATAGCTGTCCCCATTTTTGACCCGAAATAATGAAAGCATAATTGCAATTACACCCAAGACTCCTTTTATATGGTATTTTTTTTTACACACTTTATTCACAGTTACACGATTTTTTTAACACAATTTATTCACAGTCACACGATTTTTTCCTTTTCTTTTTCCATTTTGCTTTAATTTATGAAAATTTTACATCACTTTATTACTTAATTTTTTGTAAATATTTACTCATTTTGTAAATATTTACCCATTGTTTTCTTCACTTTATTGTATTTATTATACATTATTATGTTTATTCAATAACGTGTACATATACATGCATTTTATATAATGTAATAGTTAAATAAAATGCTTTAGTGAATGCATTTCTATGTTTTAGATTACTTTTTGTTAGTTTGCGTTTTTAAAACAAATTTTATCCTTTGTTGCTAATCAAAATTTACATAATTTTTTTTACACGATTTTCTTTTAGTCCGTACGCTTTCACCGTGTGAAAAAGGAGTTTCAGCTGTATCATTAAAAAATTTAGAATATATTTATTTGGCGACTTAAACCTTAAGTATAAAATAAATAAAAAATTTTTTTTTTAATTTGTAAAAATAAATAAAAAATTCATAGAATTTTATTTCAATAATCTGAATAAGATTTTATGTTTAATACATAGCATGTTACTCTTTGAAGCCACGTGTAATGAGAACAAGTAATAAAGATCACTCCAACAAATTGCCACATGCGATAACCTTTTTACGCC